TCTCCTGACGCCCCTCTGCTTCTCGGCCCCTTGCAGCGGTGCCAGCAGCGGCCTGGGGGACGAGGCGGAGCCGCTCACCAAGCGGCACATAGACGGCATCTTCACGGACAGCTACAGCCGCTACCGGAAACAAATGGCTGTCAAGAAATACTTAGCAGCCGTCCTGGGGAAAAGGTATAAACAAAGAGTTAAAAACAAAGGACGCCGAGTAGCGTATTTGTAGCGATGAGTAACCAGCCACTCCTGTGTATACAAAGTCCTAAAAAAGAGAGAGAAAGAGAGAGAGCGAGAGAAAGAGAGAGAGAGAGAGAGAGAGACCCCCCCAAAAATCAAAACAAAAACAAAAGTCATTTCCAAACTGACTGAACAATCACCGCTCCTGTGTTATCTAAACATGTATTTATGTATGAAGTAAAGCCATTAAATGAATATTTTGATAATAATATTGTTTTTCTTTTGTACAAAAGCACTAGAGAAACGCACAGATCTACTTTGTGGACCAATCATTAAGTTATATATAATATATAAATATATATATATAAATACTACTACGAATACTAAAGAACAAATCTTCATATAAAGCCTGCACAAGAACAAGAATTCGCCTGAGCTGTTTATGTTTTTATATAAAATAAATAGAAAAAAAAAGACAATCATTGTTTTGAATATTACTCCTATTTTTGTAACGGAAATTAAAAGGATAGTATTTTTATCCACGACAGGGTCGAAGACATTAATTTTCACCATTTGCTACTGTACATAGAGAAGGATGCCCTGCTCCCAGGGGATTATGAGGAAAATGATTTGGGAGAATTGCTGAAGCAGATTCTTCCCCCGGTGAGTCTCAAGGCAGGCTCCTTTGCCACTAGCCTCTCTGCAGGGGCACCGTCCCCTCTGCTCTAGATTTCGATTTCTTTCTGCTTTCTTTGATTCCAGATGTATCTGTACTAGTGTCTCCTCAAACAATGAGCTTAGACGATAATTCTCTTGTGGTGAAAACAACAGCTCGACCCAAATTGTGCATCTCTGTTGATCAGTAGTGGAGGGAGCAGTAGTTAACCCTCCCCAGCAAAACCAAAATTAAAAAAAAAAAAAAAAAGCCAAACCAAAAAGAAATCAACCCTCCCCTTGCTAAATCCCGACCCAGCAGCAAGGACAGCGAGCCCCGGGCACTGCCCTTCTGGCTGGCCGGGCAGAGTTGCAGAAGAAGCCAAAGCGGAGCTAGGAGCCGTTTGGGAAGAGAGGGGAAGAGCCGCGGGGCGGCCTCGGGCGCGCCCGGTGCCGGGGCCGGTGCCGGTGCTGGTGCCGCTGCCGTGGGGCGCAGCAAGGCGAGGCCCCCCCCGCCTCCGATCCGCTACCCAACTGCCCTGGCAGCTCGGTACTGGACCTGGATGCAAAGTACAGTGTGTTACTCTCCAGTGCTCTCCATGCTTCTCATCATGTGTAACGAGCAGGGTTCTCGCCTTTGGCATTTTTTTTTTGCTCGAAGTTGCTCTTTTCTTTCACATTTTTTAGACCCTCCTGCCTCTCATGCACTGTTTAACCTGTTTAACCCACCTGACTCACCTTCTGGGGATTATGTTCTTTTTTGGGAAAAAAAAAAAGATTGTGAACGCTCTCTCACTCCTTTGTTCTGTTTTATGCAAGCTCTTATTGTAAAAGTTTAGGAATCCCTGTTGTAGCTACCACTAAATAATTATGCACTACTACTAAAGTTTTTGTTCCTTGTTTATTGAGTTTGGAGGTAAAATGTATTTTTCTACATTCTGGCTTATTGCTTAGTAAAATTTATTTCATAAAAAAAACTTTTTTTTTGTCATAAAAGAATGTATAGTGTTTCACCTGTGGTCCGGTTTCTAACGAGATAAACCATTTTCACCTCATCTCTCTATGTACGGACTCCTATCTTGCCTTGCACCCGGGGAACAGTAAGCAGCAGCGCACCTCGCCCCGTGCCCTCTCCTGGGAAAGTGGCGGAGGAGGACACGTAGGTAAAACGCTTCCTTCCAGCTCCACACAACCTTAGCAGGGTCTTTTTTTTCTTCTTTTTTGTTTTTTGGGAAAAAAAAAAGACCCCAAACCAGTCCCGAATTCAAGACATCGATTGGGAAAGCGCTCCTCACCGCCCGGGATGCCGGTACCGGCTGCGCTGCCCAGGCTGCGCCCCCGCGGGCGGCGTCGGGGCGGGCTCGCCCGGGCGCCGTTTGCAGCTTTCGTGCCTTCTCTTCACCTCGTCAATCGCCACGAGTTTCACGGATGGCTATTCAGTGGCCCTACGATGCTGCAACACATCGGCTTGCGTGTTAGTCGTCCCTCTCCTCGCGTGTCTCCGGCCGTGGGCAGAGCTCGCTGTGTTCGTGTCGCCTGCGGTGTTAACGGCGCCGGGCGCCCTCGGCGTCCCGCGTGTGACCTTGTCCGCTCCGCTTCCGTGGCTAGTGGCAAGCATCGTGCAGCCATCACCTAGGTTATCCTCTGTATACTTTCTAGAGACGCCAGCAGCCTTACCAGAATTTGAGCAGATTTGAGACGCAGTGATAGTTTAGGTAGATGTTAGTCTCGGAGAACTTATTTTGTGTGCAAATGAATATATATATATAAAAAGAACTTAAGCAAAGTATTATTACACACATGATATCTATAACTAGGACTTTGATAACTGTTATATAAAGTGTGTAAAGTTTGTATTAATAAATTTTTGTAAACAATGCAATTTTGTCTAATGTTTGGGGGAGAGCAATCTAGGATATAGCAGCGAGAGATGCATTTCATTATAAAATTTATGTACTTAGTTTATTTTTAAGCAGCACTCTTCTAACTGGGATACCTTTTTATTAGGTCTCCAAAAATTATCATCAAAAACCCTCTAATATTTTTACTGATGGTTACTGAAGCAGAAGTCTAGTTCCACACACACTAGCTAAGTGATTTCTTTAAAAAAAAACCACGAAATGCATTGGTCAATGTCAACAGCCCATCTCTCTAAAAATTCCTCTGCTTAGAAGCTGTTGATTTGAAACAGAATTGGCGTGTTTGATGAGATCTTCACTTAATTCTCTTTTAATGAAGATTCAGCATGCGATAATTTGCATCATAACATCACCTGCTGGCAAAGGCAGCATCTTTCTTTGGATTAAAATTTTACTGGGCTACTCTAAAAAACAACAATGCAACGCAACAGGAATCACCTAGGTTTTAAAACACAATAGGTGGCTACGACGAAAAAGCACAAACAGGGTGGTTTGTCACCAGAGAAGGGTAGAATATCTGACCCTTAAAATTCTATTTAACTCATTAATGGCTGCTTATATTTATTATTTCTGTGATAGCCCAAGGGCTTTATTTAAGTCATTTGGAATGTAGCAGCAATTTATTTTTAAGCTAAACTCTATTTCTTTCTAAAAATCTACAATTAAAAATTAAAGCATGGGAATCAAATGACAATTTCCCAGCCATTTATTTTTTTAAAATGTAAGCCCTGTGCTTGAAACAGACTAATCATATTCTCTGTGATGTGACTCCAACTTATTGGCTAGTTTCAATAACTGCATTTTACTAATGAACTGGAAAAAAAAAAAAATGGAAAGCTGGTAACATTAGCAATATCCATGAGGAAGGAGTGAAAACCTAGTTAAAATTCTGATCATATACAGATCAAGCCAGAGACAAATGCAAAGAAATGTCTACATTGGGACAGGGTTGAATTTTTAAGCTGGTAGTTTAACAAAACCAAGACATTCTCCCAAATGCAGTATACAGTGGAAAACTACTATTAGGTTAAGTCAGCTTATCATGCTCACACATGTAATTGCCTTATGTTTCCTGATCATCTAAAATGAAAATATTTTTTAGAGCTTCATAGTGAACATCTTCTTAGTATTGGTAGTTTAAGGGCAGAATTTGGGATTTGTCTACCAGAAACATAAGTTCTTGGACACTTAGATGTGCAGGTGTGCACAAGAGGGAAGCAGTGCTGCAGGTGGCATGGAAGGGGTCTTACACTCCTGAAATCCCTCTTTGCCAAATCAGACAAGATTTCACAAAGAAGCTCAGGTCTGTTCCCTATGGTTTAAACTGCCATCTGAAATGATAACTTGGAAAAATATTGTGTAATACTGAGTTGTATAGCATCAGTTTTGTGGGAATTCTTGATGTTTTATAAGCTGCTATAGGGCTAGCAGCAGAATTAGATAAAAAGTCAGCCGAGAAAAGAAGAATGATGAAGCAAGACATGATTTTGGAGCTTCACATTGTAAAGACCTCCAGACATTCAATCAAAGTAACAAACTCTGGTTACTTAGTAGAAGCGGCTGAACAGAATGGGACAGATTCATCCAGATTCCAGCTCTCAGAAATGTGGTTTAACATATCTTTCACATAGCTACTTAGATCATCAAAGCCAAAATAATTTCAAAGAATAAATTTCCTTAGTGCTCTGATTTAAATCTGGACATGGTCAGCACCTCCCTTTCACAAGGCTTGCTTGTGAATGTGCCAACCTCCTCTCCAAGGTCACAACCTTGGAGACTCTTCCAGCCTTCTTCCAGTGTCAAAGTTCCCCTGTTGGTTGTGTATATTTTTTGCCTAGAAATAAGGAAAATAGAAAATGAGCAGGAGTTTCATCTTTTCGGGGCTTGTTGCAATTTACTTTCTAGTTCTAGCTGAGTCATTTAACTTCTCTTCAGGCAAAATCTTCAGGGAAAGCACACCCTCAAAGTTTTGTTTAAGGACCTCATGCTTAGACTCTGAAAGTGTATTTCCTCTTAACTACACTCATAGATTTTTAAGACTCAGGGGGACTGTTATGATCGTCTTGTCTCAACCTCGGGTAATACTGGGCGTAGGATTTCATGGAGTCCTTCATTTAGCATTTAATTTCTGAGTGAACTATATGACAGCAGTATTGATTACAAGACTTGCAGAAATGGCATATTTGCTGGACAAATTGTTTCAAATGTTGCAGCTTAGCCCTTTGTTCCTTCTTTCAGTTTGTCTCATTTTAGAGTTGTGGATATTCTTAGCCTGCGAAGAATCTCTAATGAGTGGAGATTTTCTTCTCCATGTACATAGTTAACAGGCATAGATTTACTCTCTATTATGCTTTATCTTTAAGGCAACAAGACTGACCTTTAAGTGCTCACTATGGGAAAAGTTTTCAACAGTTGGAATTATTTTGGAACCATTTTTTATTTGTCACCATCCTTAATAAACCGTTGAGCACGGAAATGTTTACACTATCCAGTAATGACCACTTTAAGAATACTGCAAAATGTAGCAACATCTAATTTCCTACCTAAGGTTATGCCAGTTGCTTATAAGTGTTTCG